CCGATCACCAATACCTTCTCCGGTGAGGTCCTGTAAAAATATAGTTTCACTTCGAGCTCTCAAGTTTTAGTTTGAGCTCTCGAGCTCGTAGTTTTCCAGACGAGCCAAGCTCGAGCTTAGCATGCTCGTTTGCACCCCCACACTATTTCAACACCTTTTCATGCATAGTTAAGGTGGCACATGTGCAAAAAAATTGAAGTTTAGGTGTTTGTCGTGTATATACATAAGAGTTAAAGTGTTACGTATGTAAATATTTCAGTCATTCCAGCACAACTGAAAATGCTCTTAACTTGTGATCTCCTTAATGAAGTTCCCCGGATATCTCTACTATAACTTCATTTATTTATCTAAATGTAGTCGATGTTTATACCTGCATTTATTTTGTTGTTGCAGGATGGACGGATCGACTATAGCGAATTTGTCACGATGATGCGAAAGGGTAATATGGGAAATATGGGACTTGGGCTTGGGAGGAGGACCATAAGGAACAGTCTGAGAATGAGCACTAGAGAGTGAGGAGAAGAAACCTCCATGAACTATACTATGGTATTGCCAGGAACCATTGCCTTCAATCTGGTTTGAGAGATATGAGAAGAAACAGAAGAACCCTTGATGGTTCTGCCAATTTGCAGCAAACTACCTTCTTTTTGCCTGATTTGAGAGGGAAGACATTGAGAATTTCTGTAACTATTTTAGTTAGATTTTGTGTAGCATTCTTATTGAAAATTTGCAGATGAAGCAGGGGATTGTTGTCCGGAAAGAACTGTGTTCAAGTTGTAGTTTTAAGAAAACAACTTCTAATGTAATATGGAATTGTGGAATAAATTGTGGAGGAGTTTTCCGGAAAGAGCTGTGTCACAGTCTTACTTGTCAAGCTTGGGTTTCGAATTAGAATTCCAACATACCATACAATTTTTATGCAATTATACAATTAACACCTAAAGGTTTGATATGTTCATTTATAATTCTTTGCTATTAAAAATTTATGCATGAAATGGTACATTTCACTTTGAAAAAGTTTGTGATAGGAGTGTATAATAACTCACCTGCCGAATCAACTAGCCCCGAAAATGAATGGCGCTGAAGCGTGCGACCTACACCCGGCCATCGGGGGGATGGCCAGTCCCGCATGAGTAGGAGGGCGCGGCGGCCGCCTTAAAACCTGGGGCGCGAGCGTTATGTCTGTAAATATGAGTGTTAGGTGTTCAATATGTAAATTTGTAAGACTTGTGTGGTGTGTATGTAAATGCCCCTTTTTTTAATAGCAAAGTAAACTTTATATACCAAGTGCTTAACCGAATTCACATCATATCAATTCCCAAAAGGATTTAATACCTTCTTCTTGCAGAGTTAATGCAAAGTTATGAGCCAACTTGACATATCCAAATTTTATTAATAAATAATAATAATAATAATAATAATAATAATAAATCATTCATAAAGAATCTTAAAAATTCAAAAATGCCCTAGGAAAATTCACATACATACCCATAATTCTTATGTATTTACATACCTAACCCCCAAAGTTTGATATTTACACTTAAGTCCTTGGCATCATAAGCCTATGCATGAAAAGTTGCATTTCACCATTAGAAAGTTGATAAGGGTGGTTAATTCTTATTTGAAGTTAAAAAATTGAGTGGTATGAACATAAATATGAATGTTTAGGTGTTAGATATATAAATTCAAAAAAAACACATGATGTTAAATGCCCCAATGCTATAGTAACCCAACACCAAACCCATCTACCTTCCACTACCAATATTCACAGCAAGAGCAAAACCCCTCCTTAAAGTGATGAAACCTGACAGCATCCCTCACCACAATCTCCCTTCTAAAGATCAAAGATACTAACTTTATCACAGTATGACAGTCCCCACAAATCCGGAGGTTCTTCATTACATGAACTTCCATCCATGGCGGCAAGCTCATCAATCCAAAAGCCACAGCTAGTTTCTCACTGTGATATCTACTTGATCTGGAACAACCATCTTTATTCACATACCCAACACCTTCGATCCTCTCAAACAAATCTCCAAGCACTGTCAAAACATCAATAATCTGTGGATGATTTAAATCATCTGCAACGAAAACATGAATCCTATTATCAACTTCTATCCAGCTACATCCAGGCTTCTTTCTTATCCCTCTTTCCTTCATAAGTTTCCTCACTCCTGCAGAGTTTTGTAAGTCCCCCACATCAGCATACAGCTTCGCCAGCAGAATATAGCTCCCAGAATCCTTGGAATCCAACTGAAGTATATGCTTGGCGGCATAGTCTGCGAATTCGGTATCGTTATGAAGCTTGCAAGCTCCAAGCATTGCTCCCCAAATCTCCGCGGTAGGTTTGACAGGCATAGTTTCTATCACCTCCTTGGCCTCTTGCAGGAGCCCGGCTCGACCGAGAAGATCAATAATGCATGCGAAATGCTCTGTGCCCGGAATGACACCATGGATTCTGGTCATCAATTCAAAGTAAGATTTCCCTTCTGCTACCATTCCTGAGTAGCTGCAACCTGAAAGGACTGCAACATATGTTATATAATCAGGTTCAATCTTCTCAAGCAACATCTTTTCAAAGGTCTTCACCGCCTCCCAACCGAGACCATGCTGCGCATAGGCGGTAATCATCGCATTCCATGAAATCAGATCCTTGTTTGTTATAGATTCGAACACTCGCTGAGCCTCTGCAATCTTTCCGCTCTTCGAGTACATTGTGATAATCCCGTTGGATACTGAGGTGTTGGAATTATTGAGTCCTAATTTCATTGCATGAGCAATGATTTGAGTGCCAATCTTTAGAGCTCCTATATCAGCAGCAGCGCTCAAAAGTCTCACAAATGTAACCCAATCTGGTTTCACTTCATCCTCCCTCAGCATCAGAAGAAATAGTTTGAGAGCTTCTTCCTCCTGCTTATTCAAGATATAAGCACCAAATATGGCATTCCAAGATATAACATTTCGTGTTGGCATAGAATTGAAAAATTCTCGAGCTTTGCCAATTTTGCTAACTTGAGCATATGCAGTGATCATACTTGTCCATGATACTACATCTTTTGAAGCCATTGAGTAAAATATTGATTCAGAACTTTCAATTCTTTCACATTTAGCATACATTGTTAGCAGAGCATTTGAAACTGGAGTTGATGGACTGTATCCAGTTTTGAAACAAAGGCAATGTAGCTGACAACCAAAATGAAAATCAGGATCTGTTCCATTGTAGCAGGCACTTATAGTAGTTGATAGAGTGAATTTGTCAAACAATACTTGTTTTCGTCTCATTTTGTTGAACAGCTCTCCAGCTTTTTCAACCTTACCAGATTGAGCAAATCCACCGATCAGAGAAGTCCATGAAACAGTATTCTGGTAAGATAGAGAATCAAAACTTCTCTTTGCAGCATCCAAATGGCCACATTTTGCGTACATGTCCACTAGAGCACTACCTGCAAATACATCAATAATGGGTTCTGACTTTAAAATAATTGCATGAAAATGCTTTCCCCAATCCAAATGGAGAAGATTTGCACATGCAGTTAAGCCGCATGTATATGTTGTTGAACTAAGCTTGTAGCCTTCAGTTTGCATGTTTATGATCATGAAAATTGTTTCACAGTATCGCGCCTGCTGCGACAGAATTGAAATTATGGTGTTCCAAGAGATGATATCTCTTTCAGGCATACGGTTGAACACCTTGAGTGCACATTCTACTCCATACAGTTTCAAGTAGCATAGAATCATACTATTCCAGCAAAAAATATCCGGGCTTTGAATGCTTTCAAAGATCTTGGCGGCCATAACAGCTGCTCCACACTTCACATTCATGTCAATAAGCGACCGTTTGATCTGAGGGGCGTTTTCAAAACCCAATTTTTTGGCCAAAACATGAAGCTGTAAACCGAATTCATGGCACTGAAGAGCGCCCACAGCTTTCATGGAAACAGCCAAAGAGAAAATGTCGAGCTTTTCGAGTGCGTTGCAAAACATAGAATAAAAAATTTCTATAGTTTCCTCAAACTTCCCTTGACTGAAATAACCAGACATCAAGGAATTCCAAGAAGCGGAATCCGTCACAGACATTGCGTCGAAAACCTGACGGGCATCTTCCAACTCGCCTGACTTGGAGAGACCCGTTATCATAATGTTGCTAGTAATCGTATTAGGGAAGAAAATGGATTCAAAGAGACAGCGTGCATCGCCTATCGCGCCGAAACGAAAGTAGGAGTGGAGGAGAGTGTTCTGGAGGAAGAGAGAGGAGCTGAGACCAGTGACGATGACGCGCGCATGGGTCTTCTGAGATTCTGAGAATCTTAAAGAGAATTTTATGGCGTCTGATAGATGGAGTGTGAGATCTTGGAATGATTTCTTCGCCAGATATGGGAAAACTTCGGGCGGCGCAGTGATGGCGGCTTCGTGGAAATGAGAGAAAGGGACGAGGAGTTGGGAGAGAGAAAGGAATTTCCAGCGAGCCCATGAGAGCTTTATCATTCAAGAGCGCGCCTTTGGATCTGAAGGCGTCGAGTTCACTCATGTGGTATAGGAAGGGGATGGAAGTATGATGGGATTCAAACTTATAAGCAATAAGTTATCTCCATTTATGTTGCACGAAAATTTTAAATATTTTTATTATAAAAAATTTTAGTGGGATTTAAGTGGATAGCACCCAAAATTTTCTTATTTATATATCAAGGACCCTAAACTTTTTAAATCTTCGTAAATCCTCAAAACAAGTACTCTGTCTCTCCTGAGCCTTCTATTGTCATCCCCATCTTCGTCAGTTTTTGTCTACCACGTTCGTCTTCTCCATTGTCCCGCTCTTATTCCCTCCCTCTCCTATTATTCATTCTGCCATGCAAATCATCTTGCTCTCTCTCTCTCTCTCTCACTCACACACACAGTCTCTCTCTCTCCCACTTCCTCTGTCACGTCGCTTGGTCTGTTCTCCCGTCTCGCTTGCCTAGAATACGGAGCTCCATCTGGTTATTACAAGGGCTTATCATCGCAGAGGGGATCACAAGACAACAAGACTATATGGCTCTTACAAGGGCATACCGGAGCTACAGGGGGCTGCAAGAAAGAGGATGACTATTCGAGGTGGTGGCAGCAAGGACAGATTGATGGAATTAGAAATACTACATTGAAAATTGCAACGATGGATGTTCGGGACGGTTGCAATGACCATCTCCTTGAGAGAGATTTGTAGTCAAAGCACCACTCAAACTCTAGCATATAACCCTAAAGGGAGAAAGGAGTTAAGCAATTGTCCTAAACAAATTCACGCATAAACTAATTCTACATCAAGAATATAAGAATATAAAAATAAAATAAGCAAAAGACTAGGAGTGGTATAGAAGGATCATCAAACTCAAAAAAATAAAAATCAGGACCCTTTTCAATCTAGGAGAGATGTGGAAGTCACTCAGTCACGGGCATTCCCACTCTGCCCCACCCGAACTTTATTACTCTTCAATGAAAAATAAACATAATGCTAAGAGATAATTGCTATTTATTTATATTTTGCAATATTACTCTTCAATGAAAAATAAACATAATGCTAAGATATATATATAGACACGCACGCGCACACACATACATACATACATAACAACACCAATCCTTATTGATTTATGTATCTCATATCAAAGCTTTCACATTTACAATCATATCATTTTTAAATAGTAAAATCCTATGTGTAAATATGAAATTTTAGTTGTAAGATAGTTGAATTCATAAGAATTGTGTGCTGCATTTGTAATTTTCCCGCGTGTGTGTAAAAGAAAATTTATCTTTAATTGGGTTTGGAAGGGGAAGAAGCGAAAGGATGAAAGATTTGGACGTAAGGAATGCGCCCTGTGCCGTTGTTCTCCAAAAAGGGTATCCCTTTTCCACCAGTGTCAACTAGTGCTCCTCTACTCCACAAACTTTTCTCCTCTTCCGTCTCCCTCACGCCAGAAATTGAAGCCGAATACTTCTCCCGTATCCTCCAAAGATGCGCCCGCACCTCAAACCTCCTCCTCGGCGCCGCCATCCATTCTCTCCTCCTCAAAAGCTCTCTCCTTTCCTCCTCCCCCTTCCTACATAACCACCTCCTCAACATGTACTTCAAGTCCTCCGCGGATACTTCTCTCTCCCTCCAACTTTTCGACGAAATGCCCCAACCCAACCTCGTCTCGTGGTCCGTCGTCATCGCCGGTCTCGTGCAGAGCGGCCATGCTCGTCAAGCTCTCTCCTTTTTCAACCAAATGCTTCGTTGCGGTACTCACCCAAACGAATTCGCGCTGGTAAGCGCTCTCCATGCTGGCTCACTCTCCGGCGGCCTATCTCAAGCTCGGCAGGTATTCTCCCATGTTATTCGCCTTGGTTTTGAGTCGAATGTGTTTCTCATAAATGCCTTTCTCATGGCTTTGATAAGAAATAACGTGTTCGAAGAGGCATTGGAGTTGTTCGAGAAATGTCTTATCAGGGACGTGGTTACCTGGAATTCTATGATCGCCGGATACCTGCAATTTGATTGCGTCAAGGTTTGGGATTTATGGCGTCAAATGAATCTGGAAGGCGTGAGTCCTGATGAGTACACGTTTAGCAGCGTTCTGACTGGGTTGGCAACAAGTTCGAGCTTGATTAATGGTTTACAAGTCCACGCCGAACTGGTAAAGCATGGTTTCAGGGAGGATATATGTGCGGGAAACTCACTGTTACACATGTACATAAAAAACCGAACTTTGACCGACGGATTTAAAGTATTTGAAGAAATGCCGCATAGGGATGTGGCTGCTTGGACCCAAATGGCTTCTGGCTGCCTACATTGTGGGCAACCTTCAGAAGCCATAGAAATCATCAAATTAATGAAAGCAGCTGGAATCTGTCCTAACAAGTTCACATTAGCAACCGAATTGAATGCTTGTGCTAGCTTGGCTTCCTTAGAGCAGGGAAAGAAGGCTCATGGATTCAGGATCAAGCTGGGCGTTGAGGTAGATGAATGCGTGGATAACGCCCTCATCGACATGTATTCTAAATGTGGTTCTATGAAAGATGCCTGCTCAGTCTTCTGGTTCATGAAAGCAAGGTCTGTCATTTCATGGACGACAGTTATCATGGGATTTGCTCAGAATGGATTTGCTTTCGAAGCCATAGAAGCTTTTGAACATATGATCTCTTCCAATGAGATGCCCAATTATATCACGCTGATATGTGTTCTGCATGCGTGCAGCCAAGGTGGGTTTGTTGATGAAGGATGGAAGTACTTCACATCTATGGTGAATGATTATGGCGTCTATCCAGGAGAAGATCACTATTGCTGTATGGTTGATCTGCTTGGGAAAGCTGGAAAGCTTAGAGAGGCTGAAGAACTGATACTTGGCATGCCATTCCGGCCCGGCACGCTTGTTTGGCAGACGTTGCTTGGAGCTTGTGGGCTTCATGGTGAGGTGGAGATAGGGAAGAGAGCAGCGGAGAATGTGCTTGCTGCGGAGAAGAAGGATCCGTCGACTTATGTTTTGCTGTCAAACATGTTGGCGAAAGCAAGTAATTGGGATGGAGTTAGAAGTGTGAGGGAGCTTATGCAGTGTGGTGAAGTGGAGCGAATTGCTGGATCTAGTTGGACTTTGCCACTGCTGTAGGAGCGCTAACAGAGGTTTAGCTCTTCACTTGTTCTGAGGGATTCTCTTTAGTCATAGGCAGTGCTATGAGCTAAGATGAATAATTAAGTTTTTAAAATTAAAATATAATTTATCCTATTTAAAAAAAGGAGAGTATAAACAGTTGATATAATTAAAGAGCTCAAATGGTTCGATGAGATGCAATTTTTTATAGGGATAATTAGATACGGAGCACAAGAAACATTGCTATTTACAAATCTAGGACCTAGCTGATTATTTAAACTATGAAATTGATGCATTTACACTCTCATCAAACCATTTTGAATTTGATAAAAATGAAAAATATGGGCTGCAGTTTTATCATGGCTTTTGATATTTGAGTGAGAATTTGAAAAATGGATGAATGAGAGTTGCTTGATTTGTAAATAGCAATATCTTGGGTGCCCGTGCCCTGTATCGCCCCTTTTTTTGTAAGAAGCAAACTAATAGTGTAAGCAGGGCAATTTTTCTTTCCTTTATCCTGGAGATTTAACAATTGGGACTCTCAAGATCTTTCCTTTTCTCCTTCCTGCCCTCCCAGCCGCCTTCCCAATTCAATCGATCCACCCCGATTCAATTGATCCACTCCAACTCCACTCTCTATAAATCGAGACTGAAGGATGGAGAGCTACCACGCCTCATCCCGCTCGCTCTCCCTCGCCTCCTCCTGTAGCCACCGATCCCTTGCCGAGCTCTCTCCTCCCTTCTCTCTCTCTCATCATTCCGCCCAAAAACCATCAGCTATGCATGCAAATCATTCTTTGAAAATACAAAATAAATTCAATTCATTTTATCATTCTCTGAATCTCTATGTTGTTAGGATGTACTGCCTTCCGGACCCAAGAAGTGACAAATTGGATCAATAAAATGTTGAATCTTAACATTCTCCTTGATGTTGGTGCATAGATGTCATATATGTCCAACTTGTTTAAGATTTTTGAGAGCATGCGATTGGATACTCCTCCTTTGGTAAGGATACCTATTAATTAATCTTATGCTTAATTTTCTTATAGTTCCACAAACTGCCATCAAGTTTTTCTTTAATGAAGAAGTTATCTATTGCAATGTGCTCTGTATGGTCACAATGAATTGGATTATGGGCTATTTAACATGCTGCGTTGGTATCACAAAATGAGTATGATGGATTGTTGCAAATTCCCACACATTTGCATTTAAAATTAAAATTAATAAAATTTATAAGCATATTAAGACATGATAGTTTTAAATAACAAACATACAAACTGATTTGATGGAGGAAGATCATAGCAAAATCATCAAATTTCCACTATATGGCCCATTCTCAGTCCTTGTTCCACGAGGCAGGCTAGAGAAGAGTCCCCTTAACCATCCTTTACTTGCTATTGATAACCTCTAAAAAATAATAATCTGAGTGAGTGTACTCAGGGCCCATTTGGGACAGCTTATAAGTGCGGCGATGTTTTGAAAACGCCGCCTAAATGTTTGATTCGCACGTCTCAACAGCTTATGAGCTTCTTGCCATCTTGCCCTGTGATTTCTTGCCTGGCTATGTGAGGAATCTTTCTAATCTTCGTCATATGCACTTGTCCCTTGGAATCCGGAAATTAAGGTCACTTCCAGAACTAAATGAGTTTAATGTTAAGAATGATAATGGTTATAGAGTTGGGGAGTTTTAACATGTGAGCGAGCTGCGCAAATTACAAATACATTTTCTGGAAAATGTGAAGGATGCTACAGTGGCTCGCACTGCAAAATTATTTTTGTTTTGATGATATTTTTCTTTTTTTCAGTACTCTGAAATGCAATAATGTTGCAAATGGTATTCTCTTCCTCTACAATGCAATGTTAAATGATTTGATCCAGTCATATGGGGATCATACCATAGATAATACGTAACCTTGGAAACAAATCTCCTGTGCTGTTGATGTGTGTAATCCAATGGGGAGACATTTATATACACACCACATAATTATTATATTTTTACATATCTAACACCTAAACTTTTATATCTACATGCCTACCACTCAAATTCTTAACATTGCAGCAAAAATACTGATATAACTAACTTTTAAAAATGATATACACGAAGAGATGCATGATATATTGTTATTTCAGAGGCTGTATTTGGATTTGTAGATTCTCTAGCATCCATGGTTGTAGGGCTTGTAGAATGGCTGGTGATTTTTGGGGTTGATGAGGGTTGCTGCTCTATTAGTTTTGTTTAGCTTAATTCCACTGTAACGTATCACAAAGAGTATTTCTTTTTTTGAATTGTTTATAAATGATATATATAATGCTTCTCTTTGTTTGTCATTTGAATTGATGGTGTGGGATCCAATGGGGAGTCAATTGGATGTCTATAGGGGCTTTGCTGAACCTACAAAAAATTGGATTAAAAGGATCCTTTCAGGAGATCTCTTTCTTTACATCTATTCAAACTTTTACCTGTATTGGAATGACTCTTTGGCTTCTGCTATCTTATTAGAAGCAGGGGTTCATTGGAATCACTCTTTGGCTACCAAAATGGTTGCTTGTCTTGTGGAATTGAAGCAGCTGCATGCTTTCTATTGGTTTACAATGGCTACCAAAATGTTGTAATAATTGTTGCTCGGCCATATTTCCACAAATTTACAAAAATCCTTGTTGAATCCCTTTACATGAAAAAATTCAATTATGCATATTGGTATGAAAGTTGAACTGATGCCAAAGATTATGGAAGTTGTTCTTTGGTTGTACATGTGAATCAATTATAAAGCATTATGCTGAGGAGAAACTTACATATACTCCATACAATTCTCTTTAATGCAAATTTGTTTAAAGCAGCTGATGTATATTTGAAATGTGTCTTTATGGTGGAAGAAGCATAGCTTATTCGGTTGTTATGAGTTCCCTAATTATAGATTTTATTTTTTGTGGAGACATGTAAATTTGCATTAAAGAGAATGTGTCTGTACTTTGTGTTATTTGTGAGGACATGTAAATTTGTCAACTAATTAAATTTAAATTAATTTATTTTATAATTGGTGTAAAATGTAAATTATTATTAGAATTTATGTTACACAGAATCTAAAAAAAATTGAAAATTAAAATTTATAATACAAAAATCTGCAAATAAGTTCTTTTCCAAAAGTATAAACCAAACAGTTAAAAGCTTATTCAAAACAGGGGCAGAATGTTCATTTATCCACAATCAGCTGTTTTCCAAACGCACAAACCAAACAACAAGCTAGCTGATCCAGATCAGCTGCTCATCAGCAAATTATCAGGATAAACTGCTTATCAGCATAAGTTGGATAAGCTGCAGTTGTCCCAAACAGACCCTCAGTTACTGAACTCTAGGCGGGCCCAATAATTTCACAAAGATTACATAAAGCTTTGTCCAATTGCAGATGAACTCAAGACGCTCATCTTAGCAAACTCAAGCATACAATGAAAAACCATAGTCTTGCAAGGTTGAACTAGATTTTTAGTTAGTATTTAGTTCATAAGCTTGATTTTGACCGCATATTTATGTTAGCAAATTTAATCAAGACAAAAATTGTGTCTCTTTATGGGGCGCACAATTTATTATCAGCTTATTCATTTTTAAAATGCAGCTCTGTCGTTTTGTTTCTCTGTTCAGGCAGCTTATCGCTATATGAACGATTTCATCTCTCTTAAACACCAGCCGTGGGTCGAATCCTGCGACCTGCGTTTGAAGTTAAAATCATACCTCTCTGCTCCCTTGCTGTCGTGCTTGCCCTTGTCGTCACCCTCGCCCCGATTTTTTTTTCTCTATCGCCGCACCGGATCGCCGCCTCCACTTCCTGAACTTTACTGGAAGTGGTAAAGGGGGCCGTAGATGGAACTTTGCTGATATCGATCCAGGTGCTCTACTTCTCATTTACAAGGAGAGTTGTTTCTGTTTCTTATTTGCATTGGTTGTATTGTATGAGGCATCGTTCAATAGAGCGTGAGCTCTGGGTTGAAGCTGGAGTAGGAGATAAATGGCGAGTCACCGAAAATGGACATGAGATGTTTTTTTCTATGGAGATAATCGTTGATCGAAGGACATTGAACGAGTACTTCTCCCTTGCTGTCGCAGTCTCAATAGAGCAATTCGAGAGGTGAGGGGAAATGGATATTTGACTTTTCATTTAATATTTAAAGTTTATGCCCGAATTAAGCATTCTAAATACATGTATATTTAACTTGAATTAATTATTTGTTATCTATGTTCTAATTTGACATTCTGAAAATATCTCCCTGTTGTGTATATCCTGCTTGATTTATGCTAAATTATTCTTTGATTTATACTAAAAAACATTACTACAACGGGACATAATAGTCATTTATTCAAAAATAACTGCAAATCAGTTGTTTTCTTAACACACAAATCAAATAGACAGCTAGTTTATATGAACCAACTTCTAATCAATAGCTTATCTGAATCAGTTACTTATTAGCAAATTATCAATAATCTGCAGCTGACTCAAATAGACCCTAAAGTTATGCACCGAGATGTTTCAATTTCTCCGCTACATTCTGGCTTTTCAACTTTTCCTTTTGAACACATATATGTTTAAAGTGAATGATGAAATAAAAAGCGGTTAGAGGGGCCTTTAGACACTCAAATCGGCCCAATGCCTGACCTAAAACGGCCCATGTCATCGCATTCATGTCATTATATGCGCTTAAGCAGGTTTTAACGTATTATTAATTTAACATTATTAAATTGAAAATTTATTTTTAATTCATTGAGTTGTTTGCATGTAGTATAGATTACAATGCTATAGGGCTGTCAAAAAAGCTCGTTGTTCGTTGTTAGTTCATGTTCGATTCGCCAGTCGATTCTCCAGAGTGTTCTTGCTCGATTCGTTCGATAAGCAAACGAGACGAACACAAACAAGTTTATTCGTTCGATTTGTTAAACGAGCCAAACACAAACAATGATGCGTTCGTTCGTGTTCGAATCGTTATTGTTCGAAATATATATATATATATAAAAATTATGATATTTTAAAAATAATTATATACTCAAAAAATTTGTTATATTTTTAAAATTAAATCCTGTAATTTACAATAAATTATTAATTATAATATATTTATATACTCCCTAGTAATATAAATATTATATATTTATATAATATAAAGTATATAATTAATATAATATATTATATTATTATTTTTATATATTAATATACAAAATGAAAAAAAAAACCTTTTATTAACCTAAGGGACTGCGCTCTGCGG